TATCAACGAAATTAGCGTAATGACCATATCTATTCCTCCAAAAAATAGAATTAATTTAAGTAATCTATAATTTTGAATAAAAAAAGTCAGTTTCAACGAAATACGTCGCTTAAAATCCTAATATTGACGCATAACTACGGTATTTTTATGACTCAACCAGATTCATTTAATGAGAGTGAGTTTCTTAAAATTGATGTGGACTTTGTCAAGCTATTTGTATCGTTACGATTACATAATTTTTTCGCTTTATTTACTCTTTTCTTATGCAATGGTGAAAAAAGTGTATGTAGCTTATCTCAACCAAGAAGTCTAACTATTGAGCAGAGACGCTTCCATTCAATGAAAATTTTTTGTTTCTCCACATGTTGCAGGTGGAACATCTCGTCGTCTTCGGTGTATAAATTCTAGTCAATGGAAATCCGTATCAGTACTTCAGTGCAAAAAGTGGAATCAGTGTCAGTGTCATCAGTGTACCGTGGAAAGCCAATTTGACTTTATCGGTGGTCAGTATACTGAAACTGCACATCCCTAAACGTGCTCTATAACTTTACACATGTGAAATTTCTTCTGCATCCAAATACAGAATTCAACAACGTGAAACACAGAGCTTCTTTCTTCCAGAAAATTTCCTTTTCTTTCAATATCTTAACTAAACGGCTACATCATAAAACAATTGTCAATAATGCAATTAGTTCATATTGCAACCCGTTTAATTCTGAATTGAATACAGATCCACCAAAGAAACAGCTAGCTATATTATTAAGACAGTACATAGAAGTTTTTCCAACGCTTGGATATTAATATGTCAAAGATTCTAGATTAGAAAACTGAATTCGAGCTGACCAATCCTAGCAAATAAGCATTATCGAAATCGAGAAAAAAATGAAAATCTACAGAGAGACATAGAAAATTTCGTGTCATTAACCATACTGTTTAGACCATATCATGAATTCTGTTTTTATTGTAGTTATTGTTTTGCAGCGACACTCTTCTATAATGTTTTCAATTCCAGCGAATCAGATTTTTTTCTACTTCAGCTTGCTTTGTATGTAAAAAGAAGACGTATAATTGTTTTTAACCTTGCTTTACTTCTTATTTGCACAATATCGTTTTTTTCTCAACATGTCTTTTACTCGAAGCAACAAAACAAAGATTTCGTCAAACAGCGAGTAAGAAATTCATACATAGATAAATTTGAATCTGTTGAAGATTTGTATTTTCTGTTGTGGAGATTAAGCATTTATTCAAGCTGGCAATTACCCAATCAGACAAAAATTTTGGAAAACGCATTTAAACGCATAATCGGGAACCGCGATTGTGGTACATTTACACTCATTAAAAAAAACGCACGAAAACGCATTTATTGGCGTTTTTTTGTAACGTTGTGGTCGTCAAAACAGCGAAAAGTCCAGTTTTCAGCGTTAAAAGCGCTATTATTTTAGAACTTAAAAACAATAAGTTTTAACGCTCAGAAACTGGAACTTTTACCGTTTTGACGCCCAGAAAGTTACAAAAAAACGGCAATAAGTGCGTTTTCGTGCGGTTCTTTTAATGAATGTGAATGGATCACAATCGTGGTTTCCGATTGTGCCTTTTAACGCGTTTCTCAAAATTTTTGTTTGATTGGATAACGTCATTGTATTCATAAACTTATCCTTAGTTTTTTCCTTCCTTATGCTAACATTCGGTGACATGGTTTTATCAGATGTTACAACGTGTGGATGTATTTATACATGGCACTCACACCCATACACATCTATGTATGTAAGAGTAGTCATTACATTTTACATCCTTGTCAAATAATAGGAAACTAGAGTAGAATTCCAGATACAAGTTCACAGACATCGTTTCGTTATTATATAATGAAAATCGAGTAAAATATGTTGAATAGTTTTTTCAATTTTCATCATGCTAAGTTACTATGCTAACAATGGTTACTATGGCATGTTTCTTTCAGTTTTATTTCTAAGTACACTCTTTTGCAATTATTCACAACATGGCGACATCAACAAGTGGATCATGCTGCATTAAAGACTGTAAAATGAGAGGTTCAATGATTTGCGCTGGATGCCCAGAGATATTTTATTGTAAGAAACACATGGCACAACATCAGCAAGAACTCAGTTTGCAACTGGGTAGGATTGAAGTTGAGCGAGATCTTTTCAAACAAAAATTAGAAGAACAAAAAGTTGATGCGCAAAAACATGCATTAATCGTAAGAATTGATGAGTGGGAACGAGATTCGATTAATAAAATTAAAGAAATGGCAGCAGAAACCAGACAAGCAGTGCGCTCACATATTGTTGACTACCTTACTCAAATGGAATCTAAATTAAATCCATTAACTGAACAAATTCGTCAAATTCGTAATGACGATGACATTTTGGACACAGATATTAAAAAATGGAAAGAAGAACTTAAACAGTTGAACGCTTTACTTGACAATCCTTTTCTGTTGAGAATCCAACAAGATGCTGCACCTTTGGTTACAAAGATATGTTTAGAAGTTTGCGGTAAGTTTGCTTACTTGATAAAAGACATCATCTGCAATGCATGAATGAATGAGCAGTTGTAGTACGTAAATTAGGTTTATACATTTTATTAATATTTTAATAAATGAAAGTAAATCTATGGAAGTATCGAGATTTAAGATTGTTTAGTACAGTTTCATGTTCAGAAACTAGTTGAATACCAACATGACTAGGTCTCAATGTATTCGTAAATCAAATTTTATTTAAAAAGTTATAGATTCCAATCAATATACCTAAATATACAGTTAAGTGAATGAAGATTAATATGTTCCAAGAAAGTAATAATACCAATTTTAAAATATTTTTCTTAGCCACCAATCGATTTTACTTTTTACATTCAAAATAAATTAGTTTGATTATAGTTCTCACAAAATAAAGTTAGAAACTTGGTATTTGATATGCTTAGATACGTGGGTAGTAACAATGAATATATCTATCCAATCACCTTTTATAACTACTTTCCTGCGCTCAATTTACAAATTCATCTACGGTATCAAGACTTCAACTTGACGTATATAGATGAATGTTGATTATAAGCCGTACGAAACAATTCATCTAAAGACTTTTTGAATTTATTTCAACAGCTAGAGGATCAGTATACTAAAAAGTATAAGTTTGAAAACAAAATAGTTTGAACAAGCATTACAACATGAAAAAGAAAAAAACGTTTGAAAAAATCAATTTAGGGAATTTTTTCAAATCAATCAGATTGCTTTAGATTTGATTAATCATTATTTTCAGTGGTTGACTTTAGAATTGAGAACCCATCGGATCACCTTTGAAAGTCAACTAAGTTTTAAAATTAACTCCGACAAATATCTAATGTTCAAATCAGATTTGATGTAAATGTTCAGAATATATGTCTATTTAATAAATATAGAAGAAAGAAGCTTTTAGTAAGTTTATATTTTAAAAACATTTTTAATTTATAGAAAGATTCAAAGGAGAGGGGTCGAAAAGCGATGAAATCGGCCCCCTTCTGAAATTCGACTTTATCTTAGCGAAACCATTATATTAGGTGCCTGAAAGCGTTCTATTACAGAATTAATCAAATAGAGCTTGTTTTTGCTATGAACGGGTGCAGTAACTTATTCAGTGGGCACTGCATTAAGAATAGTCCTGGCTTTTCATGATAATCGTCTCGCTCTATCCACTCAATACATGATCGAACAGTCTTCTTTTCATATGGTTTGATAGCAGTTTTTGAGGGCTTTAAAATGGTATAAAAATGTCCAGGAATAAAAACTGAGCAGCAGCATTTGATATGGAAAACATTGGACTACATACTCATAAAATATCTAAAAAATCGATGATAACTAACGAAAGCACCTCATCGTTGTGAATCAACGGTATTGACCGCCATGCTAGTTTTCATATAGTTGATAGAACTTTTGAAGAGCTTCAAATGATATAAAAATATCCAAGAGAAAACACTGGCCCGATAATGAGATCCTAACCACACTGCTGACGGGTCACAATTTTGAGCTTTTTTCCTCTCGAAAAATGCCATTTTCAATTAAAAAAGATTGATGCGATAGATAATAATACGATATTTTAAATCAGCATCAAAAATTGAGTAGATCTAACTAAATTTTGATCTGTTTGGCTGACCTTTATTTTTTTCGAAAAATTCACCCCTACTCCTCCACAGGCATGGGCCAAAAAGTAATTTTCATAAAAAATATAATCTGACTATGTAAATCAAATTCTAAGGTAATAAAATGACATTTGGACGCTGAATAGCATATCATGAAACAATAAAATGAGAATTTTCATGAAATTCATTTTTTGATCCCCACCTGAGGGAGAGTAGGGGTGAATTTTTCGAAAAAATAAAAGTCTGTCAAACAGATCGAAACTGAGTTAGATCTACTCTGTTTTCGACGCTGATTCAGAATATCATATTATTTTCAATCCAAAGTATCATTTTTCAACTAAAATCGGCTCCTTTCTGGTGGAAAAAAGCTCAAAATCGTGAATCGTCAGCAATGTGGTTGGGATCTTATTATCGGGCCAGTGTTTTTTCTTTGATATTTTTATACCATTTTGAAGCTCTCTAAAAGTCCTATCAACTGTATGAAAACTAGCATGGCGGGCAATACCATTGATTCACAATGATGGGGGCTTTCATTAGTTATCATTGATTTTTTAGATATTTTATGAGTATGTAGTCCAATGTTTTCCATATCAAATGCTGCTGCTCAGTTTTTATTCCTGGACATTTTTATACCATTTTAAAGCCCTCAAAAACTGCTATCAAACCATATGAAAAGAAGACTGTTCGATCATGTATTGAATGGATAAAGCGAGACGATTATCATGAAAAGCCAGGACTATTCTTAATGCAGTGCCCACTGAATAAGTTACTGCACCCGTTCATAGCAAAAACAAGCTCTATTTGATTAATTCTGTAATAGAACGCTTTCGGGCACCTCATATGATGGTTTCGCTAAGATAAAGTCGAATTTCAGAAGGGGGCCGATTTCATCGCTTATCGACCCCCCTCCTTTATTCTAACGCAAACTATCAAAATGTCACCGTTTTCTATCTTGATGACGCCAGTTGTAATTCTTTGACCTGAAATCATCTTTATATTCTTGTTATCATAAGTCATCCACAAAAGCACATTGATGAAGAGTGTTTCAACGGTTTTCAATATACAGGATGCATAAAAATGTTTTTTCAAGGAGTAACTGTAAGGCAACAAATAGTAACCATAATGAATTTTATATCGAGTAAAAGCACGGAAAAAATGGGATATTCTGATGCTAAGTTGTGGGAGTTCTGAAAAATTTTTATAACAAACATAAAAAAATCTCTGAAAAAACGATGTAAAAAGTAGTCTTTCAGGATCCGTAGTTCTATGATTTCACACAATAAATATGATGAATTTTATACCAAATGAAAGCTCAGAAAAAATGAGATATTATGATGCTAAATTTGAAGAGTTCTGACAACTCTTTTATAACAAACATAATTTATTTTTTGAAAATTTGCACAGGATCATCATGATCATGTATTGATAATGAGTTTTTATGTAAGGAATATGCTTTTTGCTACGCAAATTCATATGGTTACCACTGTGCAAATTATTTAACTTTGTCCAACACATAAGATGATATCGTTATTGTTCATTTTCTCACCTTTTTATCTTCCACTTCTGAATATGAATAACGGTATGCCAGTAAAGCGAGAGAAAGTGTATAGCAGTAATTGTTATCTATTCTTTGTTGAATATCTTTTCGTTCTGCAAGCACATTTCGATTTACTCATCCAATGACATTTTTCTTTTCTATCTGACTAAGAATAAAAATTGCACAACCCTCTGCAATAGCATAAAGTTATTCCGTGATATATAAGATAGATAGACAAAAACAATCGATTCTTTTGGTGGGTGAAGTTAATTTAATTGGTTGGAAATAGCTGGTACCTACGATTCAGAGTAACAAAGAATCTTCGCCAAAATCAAATGTATCGCTTTTTGCGATGCTTCTGATGGGGATGCGACATTCATTAATTCCCAGTGGATTGCAGAAAAAATGCATCGTAGTAGGCACTTTGTCAAAGAGTAGTGGGAGAGATCGTACGATCATTGCTTTGCTCATTATTCCAAGTGTGGTTAAAAACTGAAATTATTAGATACCAGTCAAAATCTCATTCTGACTGCAACTGGTATGCAAAAAAGAAGTTCCTATGCTTTGGCAAAAGAGATTGCAGCAAAATATAAAGAGTATGTTACACGAAAAACAATCAATAGTTACCGTCATAGAGATGGATTGAAACCATTTTATGTTATTCCAAAATTCTTAAAAACAGAAACCCATATTTCGGACCGATTGTGGTTTTGTAATTGACTAAGAGATTGGTCTCAATAAGATTTTCTTCATCTCGCACCTTCGGATGAATTTTATGTTTGGACAATTCGCAGACCAAATTATTAAAGTGATAGTTTCGACAAGAAGTATTGAAGATGATAAAAGGTATTGCGAGATGGTAAAAACCCAACTATGTATCGGTATCTTTATCATTTTCACGGCAAAATGGCTGCATTGGGTTATGAAAGAGAAGGGCTAATCTCGGGCTGGTCAATATTTCCGTGACGTTATTTTGATCCAGAATGTTTTTCTATTTCTCAAGGACGAAGAAAATGTAATCGATCCTGATTAAGTGATATTTGTCCATTTCAAAGCGCCTGCATGCGTGCAAATATGACTTAACATTTGCATAAAGAAAATGATATTACTTCTTGGGGTAATGACACATGGCCTAGTAATTCACCTGATCTGAATGTGGCTGGACGTGTTGGAACAATAATTAAAGATGAAATTGAGCGAAAAATATTATCGAAAGCTGTGGAGAATCGTTATAAGCAAGTGACATTGAAAAAACATTTCATAGATGTTCTGACTAGCATAGAATCAAATGTGAAACTATTTGAAACTCTTTTATGTTCGTATCTGTCCTGTCTTCAGACAGTGAGGAATGCCGATGGAGGTCAAACTGATTATTGATGTCACTAATCAGTTTTGGAAAATAAATGTTTTGATGCTATCTATCGGTTTCAATCAGATTCGCGTCGAACTGCTTCAACAAATAAGCCTCTTCATAGTGAAATAGCTCGAAATTCTAAGGATAAATTATGTTCGTTATAAAAGAAAATTTTAGAACCCTTTCAATTTAGCATCAGAATATCACATTTGTTCTGAACTTTCATACGGTATAAAATACATTATGGTTATTATTTGTTACCACACAGTTGCTCCTATGGAAAAACATTTTTACGCACCCTGTAGTATCAGTCATGTATCGAAATTTCCAAATAAAATCTGTTGTTTATGGCTAGTGAACGACTGAGGATCTTGGAATATCGAGTGATCTTCTTTATTTTTCTCTTAGTAGAACAGCTAATGTTCACGAGGTCAATATTATTTTCTTTACGTGTTTCAGTTCTTTTTTATGTATGGTTTCAGGACTATCAAGTTTTATATGCTCATAAAGAAACGTACACTTCTGCATTAGGTCTGATGAAGGAATTGTACAAACAAGAAAGTAAGCTTTCACAATTGCATTGTGTTTTTCTCTTCATTGTGTCAAAATCTGTTAGCGTCTCACATGCAATGGACCGAGCACAAGACTAGAAAGTTGTCAAAGTACTTCTCCTGTATTCCTTAACTTTCATTCACTGCAGAAGCTTCTTTACATACTTTTGCCTACCTCATTGTCTATATTTACGTCTTTCTTCCGCTATCTTAGATCCTAAGCCTACTATCATTGGAGTTAAAACATTCAAGACCAATAGGGATTCGACAGCTCCCAAAGTCATCGCGTATGAATGGGGACTCAAGACTTCTGTTGAACATTACATCTGCGGTGGGCGGACATGGTCATCTCAGTACAGTGACGGCTATTTTGGAGCCGTCTTCTACATTGGGGTACAGATCCGTGGTGCATGCAGAATCGTAGGAGGGCAAATGCGGGTCTCAAACCATTCTTCAGCGGCTCCGTTCAGTATAAAACGGTGTTGGGGAAAACAAGACGGTGAAGAACGCAAAGTCTGTGATGGATACTGCTGGAGCATACAATACGGATCGAGCTTTCAAATTACAACATTATTTTTGGCATCAGATGACCAAGCGAAGGATGCACCTAATATTGTGGGTGGTCGAATGCAGGTAGTTGCAAGAATATTCATTCTCTTCTCAATAACACTAATATAATCGAATTTTAAGGTAAACAATATTGACTCTACGCAAAGATGGATAACAAAAAACAAATGGGGTGAGAAATCGGCATACGAAGTAGTGATTTCTGATACATTTAACTGGTCTGTAGAGTACGGAGAGGGATATCAGCATACATCTCTATACTTTGATCGGCCTGTGCAAAGTTTATGCATTTGAAAATCATATTATCTCTGTGAAAACTCTTTATTGTTTATTCTTGTCTTTTGTATTCATTTTGTATTAATTACAAACAGCAAGTGACACCGTTTCAAAAATAGGCTGACAGTATGTGAGACAGGGCTCCCCGCATGGTATGGCATGGGGTGATTTGCTTCTCTCATGGAATTTTCTTCTTTTGTTCTCATGAAAAACTCCAAGGTTTTTCTCTTTGAAAGACGGTTGCAATGGCACACTTTATGGGAGTGCTGAGTAATAAAATTCATTACACCGTCATTCTTGGTCTGATCCTTCAATATAGATAAGCTTGTTAGCAACTTTGTCGTGCTATTTTTTATTGAAAAAATATAAATGTTTTCACAGAAGTTTGAACTATGAAATCTAAAACTATTTTTGTGCAGTTTTATGTGATTCGAATTATATTGTTTTATTTTTTAACATACTCTTCTGTAGCTATTCATTATATGGATAAAAAGGGATGATTATCAAGAATCTATAATTTAAATCAATTTTCAACATAATTTTTTTAAAATAAAATCTTGATTTAAAATGAACCAATTAGTAGATAACAGATTGTGCTGAATTCCAATTATTATGGATTTGAACTGAGTCTGTAAAGATCCAAAGAAATCTATTAG